GGCCCCCAGGACAGCCGGTCCCTCGCCCGCTGCTCTGAGACCGACCCGCCTACCACTGCAGCCCCACGTTTCTTCTTGCCCTCTCTTCCTCCAGCTCTAGAGACACCACCTGCACCCAGCCTGCCCAGGAGGACACCGAAAAGATGCACACACAGACACACAGACACACACACTCCTTACAGATTCAGGCCAAGGCCCTACAACGCACCACTACAACCTTCCCTGTCCCCGTGCTGATGAGAGGGCACCACTGCCACGAGCCCTTGCTCACGAGCTGCGCGGTTCCGTGAGGTCTGTGCTCCCTGTGTACCGCACCGCTCGCTGCCTCACCGCTCGCCAGCCAGAAACTCGCCTGGCTGCGGAGGGACTGCCGGGCACAACGCAGACCCACGCAGCCTTTTCTCTTGTGCGCTCTTGTGTGATACCTGCAGAGACTCAGCTCCCCTCACTCCTCCTATCTGCATTAAGTGGTCCAGCCTTAAAGACCGTGACAGTGTGGGTGACGCGTTCCACGGGAAGCTTCCTCATTTCTCATCCTTTCGCCTCACTCTTTAAGACTGAGACCTTCCCTGAGGAGGTCCTAGAGCTCCCTAACTCTGCTTCATCCCACCATCTCCTTCCACATTCCCGGTGATGCCCAGCTGGGTAGTCCCCAGGCTCAGGACTCTCCTGTGCTCCATGCAGAGAGAGGCCCTCAAGTCCCCTCGGTGCCCCCAGCTGTCCCAAGACCCTGCGCAGGAGGCCCTGAAAGTGCTCTGCTCCCTGCCAGGTCAGCCACTCGCCTTCTTGGGACATGGCTCCTTCCCTCCTTTGAGGACTGAGCTATACCACGGGCAAGGTGTGATCCACGTGCTCCCTCCACGATGCCCTGACTGGGCCGCCCAGCTCACCAGCCAGACTGGGGTTTGGCTCCATTCAGCGCTCCTCTTCCCATCACATCTTCCACTGGCTTGGACCTGTTTCACTAATGCCACCATTTCACCACAAAGACACAATTCCAGGCAAATATGTTCATTCCACTCCAGTTCTGCAGACAGCCACAGGCGTTACCAGCTCCTGGCAGGACCCCAGCACCTACCACGAGCTATGCGCGTCCTCCTGTGTGGCCCATTCAAGCTGCTCTGACGTCCTACTGCTTGGCAGGACACCGCGCACTACCTCTAGCTTGCTCTGCTCAAATACGGGGGAATGCAGGAAACATCTGCCACGTTGCCTCACTTTTTGCATCAGGATCAGTGGGATTGCACACTTAATCTTCACACTACACGGTGCCGGTCCCACACACCTGCCTCTGTCACGCGCTCTGAGCAAAGTTCAAGCAGAAAATAGGAGGTCCTAGCCCAGGACTCCAGGACAGCCTCAGCTTTGTAACGCGACAACAAGCGACCTCTTCCTCTCTCTTGGCTTTGGTTGTGTAGCTGTGTTACTCCCGAGGTTTGACATTCCTCTGCTCCCTTGCGGCAACTCTCAAGACAGGTTTGCAGCTTTGCACTGCGCTACGCTCGCTGGGTAGGATGTCCTCACGTACGCGTCAGCACAGGCACTGGTGTACAAACACCACCCAACCACAGCAGAGCCTGACCTAGCCCTGGGCAGAACAGCCTTCATGGATGCATCTTCCCCTGGACAGGGCTTCACCAGGCAGGCTGGACTGCGACGTGACCGCTGCAGGTGTTCCTCAGGAGCCTCGGGGCACGCTCAGGAGTACTTCCCAGCACGGGATGCCTCACACCCTGCAACAGCCCAGCAGCAAAACGCGTATTCGGGCCCACGGTGCCAAGACAGCCCAGGCCACGGGCCCTATCTCCGACCAGACCTGACCTGCCGAAGCACTTCTACGTACCCAAGAGAGACACAGCATGTGAGGGCCCTGCAAAAGGCATGGATTACATGACCAACTCACCCTTCCCCATTCCTACAGCATAACCCCAGGCGTTTCCTGGTACCTTTGGCGGAGGCATTGTTCTGCGAGGATGAAGAGGGTCTCCTCTGTGTGAGGAAAACACCGGGTGCCATCGGCTGCGATCCCCTGTTAGGCTGGGCGACCCCAAAGGTGCTGGCCCCTGCGGTGTACTCGTGATCTGTGAGGCTGCTGGCATGTGACTCCAGCTTCGGCTCTGGCGAGCTGCCTTCCTGAGCCGGTTTGTTCGCGTTGTTGGTTGACAGCTTCTTTTTGGTATTTTTTTTCTTCTTGCCTTTTTGTTCCTCCTTTAAAATGACAAACATGAAGCTCAGATTAATCCCCAGAAGACCTTTAGCTACGGCAAGGGCCGGCGGCGTTGCTTAGGGTCCTGATACAACGAAAACCCACGAAGTTTGCCATGTACAAACTGCTCGGGCTCTGTTCCGATACCATCTCGCTCAGAGCTCTCTGCTGCACACGCACGTTTGCCTTTCTTGCATCTATGTATGCACTTTGTGCAGAACCTCCGTGTTTGTTAACTCTGCGTACACTGCGGCGAGCGGGAGCCAGCTAGGACCAAAATGACCCTGCCTTGGGAGACCAGCGTGGTTTTGCATGAACAAAGCTTTTGATGTTCCACAAAAACTGGCACCTCCTATCTTCAGGTATCTTCATACACTTTCACAATAGCACGGAGGATATTAAACATCCCACTGATTCACAGACTGCTTCCTGCTAGGACACACACATTATCTCTCGACCCGTAGCTGCTCTTACACATACATACCATGAGAACAGCGGTCTGTCGCCATCCTGTTTCCCTCGCCTACTTTCAGTCCGCTTCCTGACGAAACCTTCCTACCATTCTTAGAGCTCTTCTACTCAACAATACACATCGCAGAAGCCCAATGCCACCAAAACCTGCATCTCCAGCAACTCACCAAGGTGTCTCACCAACCTTGCTCCAGCAGACCTTGTCACCTTTGTGCCTCATGGGGCCTATGCGCGTTAGGCGCTCGGCACCTATCATCTGACCTGTCCACAGATCAGACACTTATCAACACCCAAAGTGCCTCAATATCTTTGCTAAACTGACCCATAATTACCCACGGTTCCCCAAATCTTTGGCAGTAAATCCTTATGCTTCCCAGCAGCCGATTTGCACAGACAAGGCAATCACACCAGTCAGACTCCCAAACACGCATCAATCCGTGGTTCACGCACATTCCTTTCGGGCAGCCTCCGTCTGTCTTAGCCTGGCAGCTATGCTCGCTCGCTCACACTTCTCTACGCTCCTGATACATCGCCTGCTCCGCGGTGTTGTCAGGTATTGGACTCTCATCCCATTTATTTCCCCAAGACTGCTGAGCGTGAATAAATGCTGAGGAGGACTGGCACCGCACTGCTATTTGGGCATGACTCTGCTGCTGGGGAGAGGGCTTTCATTTCCTGGAAGCTACTACTTCTCAAGCAACCTCACCTGCTGTGACAACTTCGCGGCAGCGGCGGCGAGTCCAGTTTCAATGGAGGCGACTCTCGTGCCCTCTCGCACCGGTCTGTCTTGTCGAGGCACTGAGGGGCCGACTCGTGCTACAAGGAAAGCAGATGCAGGTGAGACGTGCAGAACGTGCCCGTGCGAGCAGCATAACCACACGCTGGGCAGCGGGGCTCTGCCCTCCGGAGCAGGGAGGGCCAGGGGTGCTGCAGCCTCTGCCCTTCCTTCCCCAGGCTGCGTGTGAAGGCAGGAGGTGGTGACAGCCTCCAGTCACGGTGGCTTGGGGAGAAGTAACACAGCTGACACTAGCAGCTACCTGGAGCCAAAGCCACGGGAGGTTTCTGCCTACACGTGAGCAACTCTGGCATCACTTCCAAATGGACAGTGTTCACTGCCCCATCAGCTGGGGGTGGACATGCAGTGCCACAGGTTGATGAGACATGGGCTGCTTGTCACACGCACAGCAAGCCGTGGAGACTCCCCTGCTAGTGGGCCACATCGGAGGGGTCTAAGGACCCCCTGCTGAGCGGCAACACCACCACCCTTCCAGACCACCAGCTTTGGCTGAACCTGGAGGAGACCATTCCCACACTCTCTCATCTCTCCTTACATAGTCAACACCTAAAAGCCATGGCTATTCAGCCGTCTGGGTTTGCACCCTCATCCCATTGCTAAGGTGGCCACCAATTGTTCCATTGCCAAGAGTGTGAAGAAAAATAAACCAACAACCCGCCCAGGAGTGACTTTTTCCTGCCAACCGATTGACAGAGGAAGGCTAACAGTGATCGTCATGAGTCTCAGCACATGATATGACCTCCCACTGCACTGGGAAGGATTAATCCTTCACCTGATAAAGGAATTTCTAGTTGTGGTCTTACAATTTCCCCACTCCTTGAAAAACGTCAAGTTTTTTAGGGACCTGCAGGACAGCCTGAATCTGGGCAGCACAGACCACATGGACTTACCCGTTGGACTGTAAGGGGCATCATCCGAACTTTTCCTCTTCTTTGATCGGGATTTGAATACTGGATTATCTTCATCTGATTCGAGAGAAGGGTAAACTACAGTAGGAAACAAAGGCAATAGTCTCAGTGTAGGAAACAGCTCTACCCTGCACAGAGGCCCACTTGCTCTGTACAGGCACGGTGACTGCAGGCATCACAGCTAGGATAGCAAGGTCCCCCAGAGGTACCACCGAGCGGTAAAACCGCTGCAACACTCAGGGGAATTCCTCCTGCTCTCATCCGCACACTACACTTGGGAGTCATTGTCATTAAACTGTGACCAGCTACTTTTAGGATACACAGTGAAACTTCTTAGGCAGGAAAAATCAGTCCTCCTCTTGTCTGTGGAGCGGCAGCGCAGCCGGAAGAGACACGAACAAGTTTCCTCATCTCAAGGGAGACTGGTACTGAAGACAGGTCAGCCAACCACTTCATCAGGACCACACCTTCCTGGCCTCTACAACCCCAGCACAGTCAGGCAGAGAGAAATGACACACAGTGCGACCATCCAAACAATGAACATGAACCCTTCTACCAAAGGGCCCTTCACAGGCCTCTGGGATAAACACCAACCTGTCTAAATTTAGTCCCAGCCTTTACCATGAAGTTTCTGTGGGTTTGTCCCACGTATGTTTGACTTTCTTGCCAGTTGCCAGTGCTTACACCTCTGGTGATTTTGGCATGACCAGGGCATTTGGCCATTGGCACTAGAAGTCTGCCGATCAGATGTGGCGCAAACACTTTTCCAGTCGTAATAGCTGATTTCCGATGGCCACGCTTGCCAGGGAGACTTAAACACACACACACAAACTGTCCTGTTATGCAGCACAAACCTCTACCAGCTTCTTGCCCTCTTTGGAACTCCAGGCTTTCCGGTCCCTATCAGTCTTCACATGATTACTTTTCTTCATTTGCTCACTTCTCATATTCAAAAAAGCTCCTGCAGATTACTGTGGCAGAAGTGATACAAGTGGGGCAAATTGGCTGTGTGCTCATTTCTGCTTCAGATGCTTGCTTTCTCTGCCAACACTCAAAGCACCATTGGATCCCTTTTCCAAGTACAAATTCAACTTCTCACTCATCTTAGCTAGATATTTTATTGCTATTGTGCAGACAAGGACATTTCTGTCCTAAGTACCAGTTCCTGACACACACTTCTGGGACGGTTTCCCGTTTCTTGGCTGACTGCTGCAGTTTCAGTGGGTTTCCATGCTTCTTAATATCTTCCGATTGAAGCATGTCTCAAATACAGTCTACCTGGACGACCGTGCCACCACTGGCTCTGCAGTCAGTCTACCATTCATACAGTGTTTGCTTAATTTTGCCGTGCGGACCTCTTGTGATTTGCACTGCTCCGTACCGAAACACTCAGTCGATTGCAGTGTGACGGAAAGTGAGCAAGCGCATCATGACAAACATGGGGGGGGGCTGGCAGACATGCACAAATACGTAGAGGCACAGGCTCAGACCGCTTCGTTTGTACTTACCGTAATCTGAATCTTTAAAACAGGCATCTAAGTGGTCCTGGTCTTCATCATAATCTTCAATGTCAATACTGTTCTTTGTGCTTTTCTTTAGTAACCGCTTGCCAGCGTTTTTGTTGCTGCCACCACCTGTTTTTTTAGAGTTTTGTGTGGAGATGGAGTTATTCTTCGCCTGATTGGTACCCCACGATGTCTGGAGGCAGGACTCTGACGACTGGAGGTTTGCCATCGATAGCATGCCCTGGATTGCTTCTTGCGTGCTGGGTGAGGCAGGTGGCTGACTGCGGGGAAACATTGAGAAATATAAGAGTTATTAGTCATTCCAGAAAAGAACCACGAACCTCTCACAAACAGCTGACTCCTTTCACTGCGCAGCATTGCTAGACGAGATCTCCCCATTTTGCTTCGAGTGACGCCAGTTATTTTGACGCTAACAGCAGTATCGCGGACAGCACAGCAGATTTGGGGTTGCCGCCCCGTAAGTCAGGAAGCCGCGTGCTGCGAGGCTGGGGGTGTGATGGGCACGAGGACGGAGCTCAGGTCACTTTTCAAAGCCCGTAACAACATTCCCAACAACGCAGCGTCTCTGCTACCGACTCTGAGGGCTTATGGGTGGAGAGGGATGTTGTGGTGGGCTTCTGCTACATACTGCCAAGTAAGCAGAGGAAGAATTTGAACGCCTGGAAGGAAGCTCACCATCACAGGCCACAGTTCTCACTGGGGACTGTCACCACTCCAGGATCTGCTGGAAGAGCAACGTGGTAGGGCACAGCTACGCAGGAGATTTCTGCAGTGCATTGGGAGGGCTTTCTGGTGTGCACGTGGGATGGGTTGATTATGGGAGATGCTGGAGAGATACAGACTGGATGGATGGACTACAGGGTGGGTGGAAACCTTGGGTTTCGGCATTTTTTGCCAGTTATCAACAGGCACGGCACATCTACTACACAAAGAACTACATTCCTTCAGGGTAGGCTGAGGTGAACAGATGTGTAAATTCTGACTGGTGTGCACGCTTAGTGAGGTGGGAAAGCACGCTCCCCACAATACGGAAAAACGTAGAATAATGATAATCTCGTCAGAGAACACCAGACATTAATTCTGCAACAGGCAGAACACATCAGCAAATATTTTCAGAACTTTGGAGTCTGGGCAAATAGTGAAATGCAAAAAAAACTTGCTGTGGTAATGATTTTTTTAACAGTTACGCAATAGAAGCCACTAACACACAGCACTCCCCAAGTAAATTAGCAGTACCGCATCGCTTTCTCTTATTTGATCTTAATTTAATGCACTTTAAACCATTACAGGACTCTGGATAGAGTAACATACAAGGTATAATGAGAGTTTCTGGGCACTAATTGCATTTATAAATAATCCTGAAAATGAGTTTTAAGGCTGGTGTTAGCAGCTAGCAACTCACTGAATAGAAGAACATTGAAAAACTTATTTAGGAAAGAGACATTTTAATCCCTCATTATCACACCAGATGCCTTAGCCTTCTCCCTGTCAAAGACATATTTTGCACCATCTATAAAAACGTAACATATTTGCTCTCAATTTTTTTCCCCAAATGTTTTTGCAAACACTGGACTTCGAAACACTGCAAACAGACCATCAAACACTGACCACTAAATGGGCAAATCAGAGAGGAACTGCCTTAAGCAACACAAGCTTCAACAAATAAATTGTGGAATATGATCAAAACCAGTGGTTCTGAGAGTCAAACCACAACCTGAATGTGTGGGAGAAATGTCTCAAAGACGCAGAGCTGCACACGGGGCAAAGTGTTTCTCATTAGGGCATGTGCTTGCGCGTACTTCCATTAGAGGTATTTCAGCCAAAAAAAAAAAATCAAGAAGAATCAGGAAGCAATTTTTAAGTTCTGGAAGGTCATATCCCCTTTCTGTCGCTTCAGCAATGATTTTTTTAAAAAAAAACATTTATGAAAGTAAACTACCTGGGAGTTACAACTATGACTTCCAAAACACTTTAAGTGTGCCAGCGTGTTTCCGCTCCCGTGCTCCCTTCCCAGCAGCTGGCTGGCAAAGCCCTTCGAACGCACAGCGAGGTGACGCCGGGCGATAGCACAGACCCTGCCCCTGCCTTGCTTTCCTTTCCTCAAGCTAAAGAGTGATGCTGTGGCTGAACAGAGAAAAGGGCGCTTTAACAAACTGACTGGTAGCAGCTTGTGCCTTTTGCAGTGGGCTCCACTTCAGCATTTTTGCAGAGCCTCCCTTTTTGGGATTTTATTGCCTCCTTTTACTCTTGTAAAGACAAGGACACATGATTGAGAGATTAGTTTACTGCAATAACCGTTTGCTGCCTAGCAAGCACCTGGTGATTTTCAGCTGTTTATCATGCAGGAACTGGAAGAGGTCCACCCTGCAACTGCCACCTTCCCCTGCAACACCCAGCACCATGCGGTAAGCCTCAGTGCACACACCGCATGGCCCACAGGCAAAAGAACCGCTCAGATGCCCACAAAGGCATGGCCAAAGCTGGCCTCCTGAACGACCCCTCAGGGCTAGGCTGTGGAGGATGAGTCAGGTCTGCAGGCCCAGCTCCCAGCCAGAGCCCACGCTGAGCCTGTACGGAGCCCGACAGCCGAGCTTGTGCCCTCGCCGAGCAGCCTGAGCCCACGAGCCTGCTAATGAGCCACGTGCATCATCATCACCAGCAACTGCCCTTCTGGTGCTGCTCCTGAGAGCTGAAACTGGCAGCGTGTTCTCACATTATTAACAGAGAAGCACCGTAAGGCAAGGGATAAGTTGCTGTTAAATCTCATCCCCAATAAAATCTCCCCCAGGGCTGACCAGCCTGCAGCGCCGGTTGGGACAGTGTGATCAGGAGCAGGGAAGGGCAACTCGTCTCAGTGGGAACCCGAGGAGGAAGACCTGGGTCTGTAAGGCACAGACGGCTTTGTGCCCCACACACAGCGCTCTCGGCGACTATGGGTTGGGTTGGGTTTAAGCCTTGGGGCCTCAGTGTCCCAGAACAGCTTGCCGTTGCCAGCAGTATCTTCACCAGCGAGGAGCACAAAGCATCCCTTCAGGCTACATTTTGGGGGCTTTCGCGTTGCCTGCGTTACCCTCCTGGACTTGACAAGAGCATCCTTTCTCCGACAGCACATTCCAGAGCGGGTGGCGATAGACAGACAGCTGTGATCGTGGCACAAATACGCACAGTTTGGCACAGACAGGCTGAGGCTTTACCTCCTTAGTCGAGGCTGGCCCCTGCGCTGCCTGGGCACAGGAACGGTCCCAAGGCACTGGAGCCAGGAGAGGATATCATGCGCGGAGCCCGTGCCTCACTTTTCACAACCAATTCTACTCCTGCCATCGCTCTCTCAGGGTTCAGCATCTCCAGGCAGATCTCTCCTTCCTCTCACAAGCAATTACCGAGCCTTTCACCCAGATCCTCATATTCAGAAACTGAATTTATTAATTTCAGCAGAATAGTACTCATTGAGGGGTGGCCTCTTCTCCATTCTCCAAGCTGCCTGCACAGATGGCTGGCGGCACCTAAGGGCAAGGGGAAGGTGAGAGACAGTAAGTCTCACCTCGCCACTGAATAACTATCAGTCTCATCTTAAGATTAAGGGAAAAATAGATAAGGGCAAAGGAAAGTCACGGGAACCACTGCACATTTTCTAAATGGAAATAAGAACTAACTTGAAACAAGAACCATCTCCTGGGGTTACAAAGAAGACAGAGCCGGACCCTTCCTGGAGGTGGAAAGCACCAACAGGATGAAAGACAGTGGGCACAAGCTGCAGCAGAAGAGATCCCAACCCGACACGAGAGGAAAAGGTCCATACCAAGGGTGGCCGAGCAGCTCACGCAGAGAGGCTGCAGAATCCCCATCCCTAATATATCTAAAACTCACCGGGGTAACGCTCTGAACAACCGGGTCAGACTTTAGGTGTCTTCCCAAGGTCCCTCCCAACTGCCGTTAGTCTGGAATACTTCACCAAACCCCACTGCGGAACAGCTGTGCACGTAAGGGGAAGGCAATGAAGCACCAGCCTCGCTCTGTGATAGTACTGCCCTGTCATTTCTGCGTTTCCCCTCACCCTACCTGTGGCCAAATGTACATGGACCACGAAGAAGAAGCGGAGCCACGGCAGTAATGACTTACCAATATTTTGGAGAAGTGACAGTTATATAAAACTATGGAACTCAAATAATTTCAAGTACAAAACCAGTATTTCTTTCAATTTTTGAATCAGACCTGGAAACAACAAATAATTTTGCTCAGTTCAAGATCACGTGACTACCAGTCCCTTCCCAATTCCATTTCGGTTATTTCAGACCGTTTCAGCCTTTCTGCAGGACCTCGCTCACCGTCTCTCCCCACCTTGCTACCACCGACCCGCAACCCACGTACAGGAGATGCAGCTCTCTGGAGCACCCGAGGCGATGCCATCAGGGCATTTCTTCGGTCAGCTGCGAAGGACGGTCTAATATTTTACAGAATAAAGTTTCACACAATTCAGATAAGGCCATTATCACAAAAAATTCCTAAGTTACTGC